CCCAAGGCCCCCAAGAACCTCCTACCCATCCCAGGGAGCATTCACAGGGCTCCGAGGAGCCTGCCAGGGGATGCAAGAGGCATGTGCCATCCTGGTCTGTGGCGAGGTGTGGGATGAGGAGGAAAACCTGCAGGATCTCTACTCCAGATGGCTCAACGCTGCTACATATGGCCGATAGCCTGGCCAAAGGGCCATTTCAGGACACAGGAGCAGGTCTGGAGTAAAGTGAAGGAGCTCCAACAGCCATATGCCAGGGCGAGGGAGCACAGCTCCTACTCCAGGGCAGAACTTCTGCCCCTATTACCAGGACCTGCACTGCATCCTGAGGGGTGATGCAGTCCCTTCCCCATCCCTGGTGGTAGACTCAGGGCTGGAGATGCCCATTGTTACCCTGCTGGGGTAGGGGCAGGAGAAGGAGGAGGAGGAAGGAGGACCCCAACAAGGCCAGCACCATCATCACACTGACCCTTGAGCCGGTACCTCACAGCCTGGATGTGTCTCAGGCATCCTTTGAGACACAGGAAGGAACATTACGTGGGTGACCTTAGTTACCTGACACAGACAGTATGGAGGTGGCGGGTGGCGAGGGGCTGGGGTGTGCACTCATAGCATGGCCTTCTTGGCCTGGGGATTGCACTGCAGTCTGTGAATGTGGATGCACGTGCAGGGCCAGTCTGGGCCATGCAGCCCCAGGAGGCTGCACCAGAGCACCCCGGGCTCTTGCTCAAAGGGTCTGGGGAGGCTGGCCACATTTCTGACACCTGGGTGGGACACTCTCCCACCACAAGTCACACAAGAAGGAGGCTGGAGACATGGCCACACACCAGGGGTGGCCCGTGAGCCTAGGCGAGCTAGGCAGCTGCCTAGGGTGCTGCTGGCCTGGGCGCCCGATGATGATGTCACGGGCATTGATGGCCGTTCAGGCAGGGGCGCCGATTGCGCCGCCCCGCCTAGGGTGCCAGCTGCTGCAGCCGGCCTTGGGCCGCTCCTGCTTAGAAGCTAAGTTCACACGCCTGTTTTTGCCCATGTAGACAGAGCTAGAAGTGTGGACTGCAGTTTGCAATAGGAGGACTGCTTCTCCTTTCAGACCGTTTGCCTGTCCACACTAGAAGTGTGTAGGGCCATCAGCACACTAGTGGTTTGCAAGCAATGGCTGAGATTGGAGCTGATTCCCGGAGAAAAAGAAGGCCCCAATCACAGCCCCTGAGATGAGGCTAAATGGACGTGCTCTATTCGGGTTCCTTTTATAAAATTATTAGAGAATTATTAGATCTTATTAGCGTGTTCTAGACATGGGTAATATGGGCAGTAGAGTGATAAAACCATTGTTACATGCCGTTGTTTGGAGGGTAGCAATTCACCATTTATTAAAACATGAAACACTGATGAGCCATTTGAAAATAGATCTTTAACCAAGTGTGGCTGAGTTAACAACACATCTCTGATCTCCCTCCTTCAGAGAGCAGAGTTACATCAGTCTTTACTCTCCGTCCACCTCAGCAGAAGCACATGCTAAAGCAATGGCATCGTGTGATAGTTCTTCATGGCTGGGCCTCTGTTGTTAGCTGTCGAAGAACTGGAGCTTTTCGTTGAAAATAGTTACATTGCTCATCCTCACGGTCATAAAGATAAAGCTTCACATGTGAAATAGACCAATGGTTTCTCTTGGCAGTCGATTCCGTAAGGACAGAATTAAACTAAGGCAAATATGGGTTGTGCCTATTCGGCGTCACATGCTAGTGCCCCTGAAACCTAGTGACGACAAGTTACCAACACCTAACACTGCAGAAAGAGGAGACTGAACTGGGAGGAGTTTGACTAACACATCCCCACTTCTTCCCTGGCTGCCGACCAGTTTTCTTAATCCCTTTCATAGGCCACTCAGTGTGGACATGCTAGTTCGAATTAGCAAAACGCTAATTCGAACTAGTTTTTAAGTCTAGATGCACTAATTCGAATTAGCTTAGTTCGAATTAACTAATTCAAACTAAGTTAGTTCGAATTAGTGCTGTAGTGTAAACATACCCTGGGTTCCCAGCTTCATTGCTCCACTTCCTGCTGCCACACATGAGTGCAGAGAACAGTTCCACCCTTCCCTCAAATCCCTCCCCTAAGTGATGTGGCTGATTGCTGGGACAGTGTACCAAGCTGGGGCCATTTTGTTCCATTTTCCATCACCTCTGGTGACCGTGGGGGCAGGCCCATCTCCTCCTGTCTTGCTCTTCTCCCCACCCCTCTCCACCCACAGCTCTGGACCTGGCCTCGACAGCACCTTTCCTGCTGCCCTGAGCTCAGCCCCGCTCCCCCTCTGTGGAGCAGAACCCGCGTGTGTGTGTGCGTGTGGGGGGGGGAGGAGCTGTGTAGGGCTCCAAAACGTCTAGGGATGGCCATGTGAGTTTGTTATCTCTTTAGCTCTCACTCTCTGTATATATAAGTGCAGAACTCTCTCTCTTTCTTTCCCCCTGCTGAATTTACCACACACTAGTGTGTATCTCTATTTTCTTTCACAGCTCTGCCTCCTTTACGATGAGCATCTGTCCCAGTTTTCAGGTTTTTCCTAATGTCCCTGTCTTAGCTGTCATAATTCCCTGCACGCCTGAAGACACCATTCATGAGCACAGACTGAGAGAGCATTATTGCTAAGCACAAACACAGTGCCTGACGTCTGGCCACCATGTCCCAACCCCAAGGCCCCCAAGAACCTCCTACCCATCCCAGGGAGCATTCACAGGGCTCCGAGGAGCCTGCCAGGGGATGCAAGAGGCATGTGCCATCCTGGTCTGTGGCGAGGTGTGGGATGAGGAGGAAAACCTGCAGGATCTCTACTCCAGATGGCTCAACGCTGCTACATATGGCCGATAGCCTGGCCAAAGGGCCATTTCAGGACACAGGAGCAGGTCTGGAGTAAAGTGAAGGAGCTCCAACAGCCATATGCCAGGGCGAGGGAGCACAGCTCATGCTCTGTGAAAGAACCCCACTCCTGCCTCTATTTTGAAGACCTGCACTGCATCCTGGGGGGGCGGGGCAGCCCCTTCCCCACCGCTGGTGGTGGACTCGGGGCTGGAAACACCCATTATCGCCCACTCGGGGGTCCCAGACAATGAGGAGGAGGAGGAAGAGGAGAATGCAGACAGCACAGTGACCACCATCATGCTGGAGCTAGTACCCCCCGGCCTGGATTAGGGATGTGAAAGACTAGTCGACTCGTTGCTGCCCACCCCCACTTGCTGCCGCTATCAGAAAGAGGAGGGAAGAGTCAAAGCAGCAGCACCATGTAGAGCCTCTGGGTCCACACGGCACTACTGCTTTGAAATGCCGCGTACAGCCCAGGGCCAGCTGGGGTATCCCCAGGCTGCATGCGGCATTTCAAAGTGGCAGCGCTGCATGGAGCCTGGAATCAGCTGGGGACTCTGTGCTCCCTGCCACTTTGAAATGCCACGAGGAGCCTGATGCTGGGCTTCCTGACACCTTTCCAAGTGACAGTGCTGCATAGAGCCCAGGGTCAGTTGACCCCAGGCTCCACGCGGCATTTTAACCCTAAGGCTATTGCTACACTTCAAAGGCAGAGGGGTCCTATGGACTAATCGAATATTTGATGCAAAATGCATTGACTGTTCAATTAATCAATTACGCACAATTTAACATCCCTATTTTGGATGTGCCCCAGGCATTCTCTGAGGCCAGAGAGGTATCATCAGGTGAGTGGCCTTAGTTTTCTCACACAGATGCTCCCACCATGAGCCACCACTAGAAGGAGGCTGGAGAGAAGGCCTCTCCCCTCCTCTTTCCCACCTGCCCTTGCTGCTTCTGAGAGCGGCAGCAAATGGAGGTGGGAGGCGACTAGTCGACCAGTCTTCCACATCCCTAATCCAGACTCTGGAGCGCCGCACACAGCACATGGGCATGCCTGCATGCTCAAGGCAGCATCCGCTGCCAGGGGCAGTGCTGCCAGGCACAGGTGTGTCTTCTGCTCACAACCCCTACCCCACTCTCACCCCCTCTCTCCCAGAAGTCAGGGATACAAGGTCTGTCCCCTTGGGATGCCACCACTGCCAGAGCTGGTATGTGTGGCACTGCTGGAAGCCCAGGCAGTTCGAGGCCCCCCTCTCAGCCACTGGATCCCAGTGTGGCCAGCCATTTCCCAGACCAGCTTATCTGTGGGACATGGGAAAGGGGTGGGAAGCATGGTCCCCTGGAGACATCTGGGCCACTGTGAGGCAGGGCCTGCTGTCCTGCCCACACATGACCTTGCTCCCGGGACATCACTGTCCTCTGATCCAGGAACTGTTTCTCTCAGCTCACAGATGAGGGCAAGGCCTTAGGGACAATGTCTTCAGGGATGACTGAGCACCTCTCTTTATTCTCCCCAGCTGGACCAGCCATGACTGTGGGGCGACCGACACCACCCGAGCCAGCTGCCCGAGCCCGGGGGAGCCACAGGTACTGGAGGGCCCAAAAAGACCTCATGAGGGAGCACGTCTCCATCCTCTGGGACATGCAGGAGACGCTGGCTCAGAAGGTCTGGGATGACGTGTAGTGGCAGAGAGAGACATGGACTGAGCTGCTGCAGCAGTGACGCAACATGTGTATGACCATCCAGGCTCACCTGACCTACCCGACCCCTGTTCCAGTCCCTGCTCCTGCCCTAGACCAAGTCCCTGCTCCTGCCCCAGTCCCTGTTCCCCTTTCCTTGCCAGCAGCTCCCCCTCCCAGGCTTGACCCTGCTCCAGTTCCCACTCCTGTCTATCCCTCTAGCCTTCCTGCACCCCCTCAGAAGTTGCCGAGGTTCCCACACACGAGGTGGAGGAAGCACCAGAGCCATGAGCCTCTCCTCCCCCCTCTGAGTTTTTCAGCCCCCCTCCTCCCCAGTTACTTCTACCCCAAAGAAATCACCACACTGTTCTGTTTTTATTAACCAAAATGTTTTTTATTGTGTCTGAAGGGGAGGGAGGGGAAGGGGGAAGGGAGGAGTAGCTGTAGGAAAGGCAGAGAGGGGCAAGGCACAGGCCCCCTAGTGGGGAAGCCCTGGGGAGAGTGTCACTGGGGTCCTTGAGAGAAACTCCCTAAGGGCTTCCTGGATGTGCACCCCTGCCTGATGGGCCAGGTGGATAGTACCTGTGCACGGCTGCTTGAAGACACTGCCCTCTCAGCAAGCCTCTGCCTCCCACCCCGGAAGGAATGCTTCCCCCTTGCTCTCCACTATTTTGTGGAGCACACAGCATACAGACACACCTGGGGGATGTTCTGCTCCCCCACATCCAGGAGGGTCAGGAGGCACTTGAACCTCACCTTGAGACGTCCGAAGGCGCACTCCGCCTGCATACAGGCCCTGACTAGGCGGCCATCAAAGCGGTCCACAGCATGAGAGGGTAGGCGGTGTCCCCCATGATGCACAGTGGCATGTTCACATACCCGACCCTGATGCTGCGCTCAGGGAAGAAAGTGCCAGCCTCCAGCTTCTGGTAGAGGCTGGAGTTGCAGAAGATGCAGGTGTCGTGCGCTTCCCCCGCCCAGCCAATGAGGATGTCTGTAAACTGGCCGTGGTGGTTGACCAAGGCCTGCAGGACCATAGAAAAGTATCCCTTCCAGTTGATGTACTGCGTTGCCCAGTGGTCGGGGGCCCAGATGGGGATGTGGGTGCTGTCAATAGCCCCTTCACAGATGGGGAAGCCCATGGCAGCAAAGCCGGCTACGACGGAGTCCAAGTCTCTCCCAGGCAGATGACCCTGCACAGCAGGACTGTGTTGATGGCCCTCACCACCTGCAGAAGGAGACAAATAAACAGACCAATCAGAGAATCAAAGGGGTTGCCAGAGGCCTTGGGAGGTCCCTGAATCCTCCCTCCCACAAACACCCCAGGAGCCATCCCCTATGAAGCCTGCCTCCCCCCCCCCCCTCGGTTGTGTGATGGTGGGACTGCAGGACCCCCGCCGGGTAGG